TATAATAAGGGGCAAGGGTGAATTCCTGGAAGTTCAACAGGCAACAAAATCTCTCATATTTTAATAAATCATTTGATGTATGTATGTGTTTTCAAGTTTCTTGTTGTGCTGTATTCTCTGTGGATTCTGTACTCTGCTGTTCTCTTGGGAAGTGTGTGGTCATTCTTTTTTTTCTTTCTTCTGTGCTTAATACTTTTTTAAATGTCTCCTGTAGAGCTGGTCTGGAAGCTGCATAATCTCTTAGGGTTCAGATGTCTGGGAAGGATTTAATTCTCCATCATTAATGAAGATGAGCTTGGCTGGATAGGAAATTCTTGGTTGAAATTGTTTATCTTTGAGGACTTTGAATATAGGGCTCCAGTCCCCTCTTGTTTGTAGTGTTTCTGCTGATAGGTCTGCTGCTATTATGATTGTTTTTCCCTGGTAGGTAGTCTGACCTTTCTCTCTTGCTGCCTTTAGGATTTTTTCTTTTGTGCCTACTTTGTGTAGGCTAATTACTATGTGTCTAGGGTTTGGTTTTCTCATCTGATGTCTTGTGGGGGTTCTCTGTATCTCTTGTGCTTGGCTGGTCACATCTCTGGTGAGATGGGGAAAGTTTTCTTGGATTATCTCCTGGAATACTTGCTCTGAGTTGTTCTCCATTTCCCTTTCTTCTTCTGGGATACCAATCAGGTATAGGTTCTGCCTCTTGATATGATCACATATCTCTTATAGGCTTTGTTCTTTCTTTCTGCGTCTTCTTTCTATGTTTTTTACAGATCTGGTTAATTTCATGTTCTGGTCTTCAAGTTCTGAGATTCTTTCTTCAGCTAGATTAATTTTGCTTTCCATGCAAATTTCCATGTTATTTATTTCCTGGATGACATTTTTTATTGCCAAAATCTCTGTTACAAGTTCTTTCAGTGTTGCATCTTGTTTTTCTTGAGTCTTATTCACTCTTTCCATCCATTCCCTAATCCCTGTCATATTCTAGGGCCAGTAGTTGGTGACTTCCATTGTTTGGGCACCAAGGTCTGATTTTTCAGGAGTTTTGTCTTTGGTACACTTGAAATTGCCTGAGGTCCTCCTTTAGTTTTTCCTCATTTGTGACAGATCTCTTGTTTTTCTCTTTAGTTCTGTTATTCAGTGTCAGTGGGAGAGGCTTTCCCTTCTGATGTTTGCTCAGTCCTCTCTTCTTCCCTGATCCGGACTCTGCATTTGTTCTATTTTAAAATAGGACAGTGGATGGAAAGCTTTGCTGTCTCTTGTAGTTTTTGAAATTTGATAAAGTAGGGGATGGGGTGGTAGGATTCAGAAGCTACTTGCAAGTTACAGTGTTCACTTATTGTGGTATGTGTTCTCTGAGACCCACTCCCCACCACCACTCTATATATGATGATGCAAAGCAGAAACCAATACAAAAAACAGTTGAACACACATGCGCACAGACATACACGTACCCCAAAACAAACTGGAATAGTGAAGCAAAACAAACAACAACAACAAAAAACAAGAAAACCAAACACACACACACACATGCCTAGCACAAAGTGAACAGAGCAGAAAAACAGAAAGACCAGAGGGTGTGAGAAAAAGGAATTTATACATAAACAGAAAACGACAAATAAAAGAAGAAAGAAACATAAAAAGAAAAGAAAAAAATTAGGGAGGGATGCAGATTAAACCCTCACATACACATTCTGCACAAAGAAAAAATATTTTAAAAATAGATGAACTAACAGTCAAAAAAAATTTTAGTTTATTTAAAATTTTTTTTTAAAAACCTGCCCTCTTATGGTAGGCTCTGTAATTGTTCCTCTAATCAGATCTCTCCTGCACAGCCACCTCTTTCACTCTCTCCTCAGTGTCCAAAGCAGGAAAGGAGGCAAGGCAGTGGAGGTGGGTGGGACTGCAGTCCTCCACTCCCACTCTCGTATGGTCAGGGAGATCTCCTCTGGTGGGAAGGTACAGGATTATCTCTTCCCCAGGTATGTACTCACGGGGGGTGCTCCAGCCAGGTCTATTCTGGAATGGAGTTCTCCTACTGAGACTGACGTCCAGGCTCTGCCTGGGTTTGTCCCTCTCAGTCATGGCCCAGCTGTGTGGGTCTGACATTCAGAGGATGGCTGGGGAGGAGGGGATTTGGGTCAGGCCCAAACTCACCACTGATCTCTTTGGCGTTCTTCCTCCTCCTTTTCTGGCCACACCCTTTGTCCTACTGCTGGTTCAGGGTAGGGGGTGGGGCTCCTGGAACTCAGCACTTGTCAGGTTCCTCTGAAGTTTGTGCTTTCAGGATATTACCTCTGGTTCATGATCAGTCCCTGAGTAGTTGATCTGCCAGGCACAGAGATCAGGTCTGTTGCTCCATGGTGAGTGAGTTGGAGCACTTTCCTGCCCTGCCTTCAAGATGGTGGTTGGGTGCCTCTTTTGTCCTCTTCTGTGGGACTTTGCCTCTGGACTCCCTCCACAGCCCTGCCAGGCACTGAAGTGGTGAGGCAAAGCCAGGAGCCAGCAGTCTCTCTCCTGCTGCAGTGGTGAGGGAAAGCCTGGGGCAATGGTTTCTCCACACCGCTTTTTCTTTCTTTCTTTCTTTTTGAGTTGGAGTCTCACTCTGTCACCCAGACTGGAGTGCAGTGGCCGCTCCCAGCCAATGCAGCCTTGACCTGCTAGGCTCCCGCGATCCTTCCGCCTCAGCCTTCCAAGTAGCTGGAACTACAGGCGCGCGCTACCACACCTGGCTAATTTTTTGATTTATTGTAGAGATGAGGTCTCACCAAGTTGCCCAGGCAGGTCTCGAACCCGCAGGCTCAGGCAATCCACTCATCTCAGCCTCCCAAGGTGCAGGATTACAGGCTGAGCCACCGAGCCCGGCCCCACCACTTTTTTGCAGAAAAAAAGTTTTGTCTGTTTAAATAAAAATAATGGCACTTGACTTCTGGGACCTGAGAAGAGCCAGGGACGAAGCAAAGAGGCTGCAGCACCAGCTATTGCACCAGGGGCCTGGTCACTTGCTCACGAGCTCCCACTTAGACAGTCTTGTCGGTGACCTGCACTGACCAAGGGGGGGTTAGGACCGCACCGGTGAATCAGAACGGAGAGAAGAAACCACACGGAGGCAGCTCTTCTGGGAACAGTCTGGCCAAGACTGAAGCCAATTTTATTCAAACTTTTTCCAACTTATATACCATTTTCTATAATCTCCAGCAGTGTGACAATTACTTGCTGGGGGCGTACAAGTTCATTGATGTGTAACACGCTTTACAAATCATGTACCATCACAAGACTTTCAGGTTCCCAGTGAACAATTACAATTCCATGATGTATGAATCACAGGTGCACAATTTCAATACAGATTGTTCAAAATGTTTTCCACAATGTTCAATAAATCATTCATATTATACTCTAAGCTCTAAGCCCTGATTAAAAAACTTTCCAAGTTAACTCTAAGTTCAATCCAATTTTACTAACTTTTAATATTTTTGACGATTAATATTATTAACTTAACACTATACTATAATCTATAAGTTTACTTAAATGACTTAATTTTATTACCTTAATTTTATACTATTTATTTTTATAATTCTTATAACCTACTACATTTCTATACTGCCCTATGATTGTATATTAATTACCTATGAACTTATCCTTAACCTAAAATTTTATCACAACTTCTATAAATTTCAAATATCTAAACTATTGTCTTTTATACTTTATTAATTACTTATCTTATAATATCATGTCTAAATTCTAATACAACTATTATCCTACTATAATCTATTACAAACCTTATCATTAGTACTAATAAGTATAAAAATTATGAACTTACTCTATGTTCTATAAAACTTAATTCAATGACATTTTAACCTAAAACCTAAATCTGATTGCCTATTACATGGAAACTACCTACGTCTCAAAACCTGCCATGCCACTTAAAACAATGAACTGCACAGTTGCCATAACGACAGCCGGGGACTGAAGCAAGCTGAAAGTTACTGCACGTACAAAAACCAAGAACGTTCTGCTTGACCAAAAGCAACATAATACAACTATTATCACAGTTATAACGTCTAATCATAACCCCAAATGAAACTACATACTGGAACAAAATCTAATCAATCAATTTACCAGGAAATAACAGCTAAAAAATCTTAAGAAGAAAAACAGTTTAGAAAGAAAAAGAGATATAAAATAATTCTGCTGTGCATTTTTCATAGGATATAATAAGATTTTATTTTAGACTGTCACTTCCTAATATTGAAAATTATGTTGTCTTATAATACACTGGTTACTATTCATATGTACACACTTGATGTTATATCCTTGTCTCCAAGGCGACCTTCTGAATAGGCCTTCATAGGCCTCAGCTGTGTGGTTACATATGTTGGCTCCCAACACAGTCTCTCCCAGCATTTTCTTCCCAGGGAGGGTTTATTGATTTAAAAAAAGAAAGAATAGAAAAAGAAAATGGCGCTCGGCTTCTACGTCCCAGGAATCACTTGGGTCCAAGCCTAGCAGCTGTGGTACCAGCCACTGCACCAGGAGAGCCCTGGCCGCTAGCTCCCTAGCCCTCACTCAGTCAACCACTCACACACCCACAGCACGTACACAAAATTTTCCATATACTCACTCGCTCACACTGGGACTCACATAGTCCGACTGACTCAGCCACCATCTTTCCGACCCCTCAATAAATCATTTGAATAATAAAAGTAACATGAAACATATCACAGAGTCACCTATAATTATATAAACCCACCATTAACATATTGTTTTTACATGGTTATAATCTTAGAGTAGGATACTATTTGTATCACACTTTTTTACTTTTTCACATTTGCAGTTTTCTTCATTTTTTTAATGTATTATACAAGCACATATATAAATCTTATCACTTTATTCAAACTTTTATTCTATGCAATAGGATATAAAGTCAGATGTGTTTATATTGCAGTAGCTCCTTTCATTAACCTACATGTTGAAAAAAATTTCATTTTATTTTTCTTTATTCTTCGGGACTATAGAAATGTGGATGAATAAAGATGAATCTTGGAATTTCCCTCAGGACTATGATCCAGAAATGATTAAAGAGGAGAAACGGAAAGAATTAAAGTCAGAAATAAGGGTGCAGGTATAACTACATTATGTTGTAGTAATAACAAGTCATTTACTGTGATGGTTGTGCTTCTTTTGCAATTTCCTATTAATGATCTATCCCATAATTTAAGTGATTTTTAAACTTCACAAAGAAAACACAAGGCATGCAAAGTCACATATGTAAAAGTGGTATGTTTTACATCCTCCTAGGTTGATGAATTGATGAGACAGGAATTAAAAAACTTAAAACTGATTGTGGACAGAGAAAAGGAACATCCAGCCAAAACAGGAAAGAAGAAAGGGAAAGTAAGTAGTGAACGAGCATGTAGAGGGGTGAGGTAGGTACAGATTCTGTCGTGAGAAAGAGCTCTGCCTATGCAGGGGCATGTCCATGAGGGCTGCCTATCGCTAGATGCCTCACAGAGAAGTATGCTTGCCTTTGGCAAATGTATTTATTTTTATAATTTATTTGTTTATTATAGACTTGTGGGGTACAAGTGAGGATTTACTACATAAGTAGGCTGCAGGCAGATGAAGTTTGGGTTTCCAGGTAGCCTTCACTTCCCCTGGTAGTAGATCAGGTTCCCATTGTGTGACCATGTGGCCTCCAGCCTCCTCCCTCCCTCCCTGCCCCCCAAGCAGTGCCCAGTGACTGCTGATCCCACCTTTGTGCTAATGTGACTAATGTTCTGGGTCTACTTATGGGTGAGAACATGTAGTATAAACTGGCCCACCATCTAGCCTTCATTGTGGGTTGTGGGTTCATAAATAGGACAGTTCCAACCATCTGAGTCTGACCTCTCCCGACCCCCATCATTTGCAGATGCATATCACCCAAGTCCCACAAATAGGAAAAGAACTATCAAAGGAGCCAGAGCACATGCCCCAGATGTCCCCCTATCAGTCCCTTTAGGTAGATCTACAGGGGAAGCATTGGCAATGAGCAAGTTTTTGTGAGTGGGGGAATCAGAGCCAAAGGAAACAGATAAGTTGAACTGTAATTTGCACCAGTGCTTCTCACAGTGGTTTAGAGCAGCTAGCTAGAACAGAGTATTCCAAGTTAATTTATCTGGACCCCTACTTTCTGCCTTCATCCCAGAGACAGCATTGTCATTGAGGTAAGAATTTAGAAGACCAAGTTAGAAGACCAAGACTTCTCCCTGGCAGTACTGGTGTGTACATAGGCAGCCTTAGCTTCTGTGATGGCTTTCTTAAAGTTCCATGACTGACTGACTTTTCCTGTGAGTCACACATTCCCTCTTAGAGTTTTCACATATTCAGCTTCTTTAGTGTCTAGTTTTACCAACTCACAATGACTCTATCTTGATCCATTTTGTATTGATATTATGGTCTAACTCTGAAGGCAGCTGAATTTCCCTCATAGCACTGAATATCCATCACTGTAGCCTGATAACACCGATTTATTAATTTACTTATTTATTTATTTTAACACTGATTTAATAACCACCCATCGATGAAAGTACCTTCACAGGAGCTCTGGAATTCAGGTGAGAGGATCCAGCACCCGGATGGGCCATAGAACACTAAAAAATAAATATATAATTTAAAAATTTTTTAAAGATGCATTTAAGAAAGTAAAAATTATAGTTTCACTTTTCCTATGTCACCCCAAAGCCCACACATCCCAGTGCCAAGCGAGGCCCTTGAGTTTTCCCTGGGGGAAAGGGACAGAGAAGTAAGCATCTGACTTTGCCAGGAACCCCAGTACCAAGCCCACTTGCCTGTGGGCCCCAACACCACAGGCCTGTCCAAAAACCCTGACACCAGGCCCACCCACAAAAATCAACAACAAGCCTGCTTTTGAGTGATAGCGCCAGAAAAAAATCAAAGTATATCACTACAAAAAAAAAATCATCAAATTACAAAGGAAGACCACGAGAGAGGAACAAAAGAACTACAATACAGATAGAAATAAATTAACAAAATGGCAATGGCAAATCCTTACCTATTAATCATTACTTCAATTGTAAATGGATTAAACTGACCAACCAAAAAATATGTAGTGGTTGAATGAATTTTAAAAACCTCACTATATGCTGTTTATAAGTGATTCACTTCAAATTTAAGGATGTATGTAGGTTGAAAATGAAGGTATGGAAAAAGATATTTCATGCAAATGATAACCAAAAGAGAGTAGAGGTGGTTATACTTATATCAGAAAAAGTAGACTTCAAATCAAAAACTGTCACAAAAGACCAAAAAGATCATCAAATAATAGTAAAAGGGTCAATTCAATAGCAAGAAATAACAATTATAAATACATATGCACCTGTCATCAAAGCATCTACATATATAAGGCAAAAGTTTACATAACATTTCTGATGGGAAAACTAGATAGCCATACCATAATAGTAGGAGACTTTAATATCCCACTTTCAATAATAAATATATCATCCAGACAGAAAATCCATAAGGTTACAATAGACTTGAATAATACTATGCACCAAATGGTCCTAAAGGTTATTCTACACAACAGCAAAAGAATGCACATATTTTTCAAGTACACATGGAACTTTCACCAGGATATAACATATGCTAGGTCACAAAACAAGTCTTAATAAGTTTTAGACGATTGAAAACATTCCAAATAACTTCCAGCCAAATGGGATGAAACTAGAAATGAATAACAAAAGGAATAGAGAAAAATTCATAAATATATAGAAATTAAATGACACACTCTTGAACAACCATTGGGTCAAAGAAAAAATTAAAAGGGAAATTTTAAAAATCTCAAAACAAAAATGAAAATACAACATACCAAAATGTATGGGATATAGCAAAAACAGTATTAAAAGGGAATTTTATAACAATGAATGCCTACATTAAAAAGAAAAATGGGCTGTGTGTAGTGGCTCAGCTTATAATCCCAGCACTTTGGGAGGCCGAGGAAAGAGGATTGCCTAAGCCCGGGGGCTCGAGACCAGCCTGAGCAACTTGGTGAGACCTTGTCTCTATAATAAATCACAAAAATTAGCCAGGCATAGTGGCATGCATTTGTAGTTCCAGCTACTTGGAAGGCTGAGGCGGAAAGATCGCCTAGGCTCAGCAGGTTGAGGCTGCGGTAGCTGTGAGCATGCCACTGCGCTCCAGCCTGGGTGATAGAGCGAGACTCCAACTCAACAAAAAAAAGAAAAATTATCTCAAACAAACAGCCTAACATACCTCAGGGAACTAGAAAAAGAAGGGAAAACTAAGCCCACAGTCAACACAAGAAAGGAAATTTAAAAGTTTAGAACAGAAATAAGTAGAGAACAGAAAAACAATAGAAAAAAAATACTAAAACTAAGTTGGTTTTCTAAAAAGATTTTAAAAATTGACAAACTCTATGCTAGGCTAAGAAAGAGAGAGGAAAGACTCAAATAAATTCAGAAGTGGAAGAGGAAACATGATAACCAATGTCACAGAAATATAAAGGATTGTAAGAGACTATTATGAACAGTTATACACTAACAAATTGGATAACCTAGAAGAAGTGAATAAATTCTCAAAAACATAGAACCTACCAAGAATGAATCAAGAAGAAATAGAAAGCCTCAACAAACCAATAACAAAAAGATAAAGTCAATAATCAGAAACCTTTCTGGGATCTTGGAACACAAAAAGACATTATAGGAAAATCAATGGAAACCAAATAAACTGTGGATTTTTATAGATAATATGTGTCAAAGTTGGTTCCTAAATTGTGATAAATATACCATAATAATGTAAGATCCTAATATGGAAAATTATGTGAGGGGTATACAGGACCTCTCTGTACTACTTTTGCAACTCTTCTGCAAATCTAAAAATTTTGTAAAATTAAAGGGTTTTATTTGCAGATTAAATGAATATCTGTGTAGAAAATCACATGGAATCTACAAAGAAACTCCTGAAAACTTCTGCAAGGGTGCACGATATAAGATAAATGTGCAAAAAGCAATTGTATTTCTATATACTAGCAATGAACACATGGACACCAAAATTAAAATATGATATCATTTTTAATCACTCAAAAAATAAAATGCATAGGTGTAAATCTAACAAAACAAATATAGGACTTGTATGTTAAAACTGCATAATGCTGCTGAAAGAAATCAAAGAGGATCTGAATAAACAGATATACCATATTCATTGATTAGAAGAGTCAGCATAGTAAAAGTGTCACTTCTCTCCACATTGTAATACAAGCTTAATGTAATTCTATCAAAATCCCTGAAATATAATTTGTAGACATGGACAAGAACATTCTAAAATTTATATAAAAAGGCAATGGACCTTAATTAACTAAAGTTATTTTGAAAAAGAGAAATAAAGTGAGAAGGATCAATTTACCCAATGAAGTAATCAAGGCCGTGTGCTGTTGGTAAAGGAGTAGACACAAAGATCAATGGAACAGGACAGAGAACTCACAGTGTGCCCAAATGATTTTTGACAAAGGTGCAAAAGCAATTCAAAGGAGGAAAAACACCCTTCTGAATGAATGTTGCTGAAGCAACTGGATATCCATAAGCAAAAAATAAAAATGAAAAAAATATAAATAAAATAAATAAAAATGAGGCTCATTTTGAATTCATGGTCTTAAAAATCTATTTTTTTTTCTAAAAGTTAAGTCTGTGACTCACAGACTTAATCAAAAACAGATTTTTGAGACCTAAGGCTAGACAAAGAGTTCTTAGGCTAGACAAAGAGTTCTTAGGATTAATATCAAAAGCACAATTACTAAAAGGAAATATTGGACTTCATCAAAATTAAATTTTTTTAACTCTGTGAAAGACCCTGTTAAGAGAATAAAAAGACAAGCTACAGACCTGGAGGAAATATTTGCAAAACATATATCTGACAAAGAGCTGGTATTCAGAACATATAAAGAGCTCTGAAAACACAAAAGTTAAAAAAAAACAAGCAACCCAATTACAAGGTGGGTGAAGACATTAAGAGATGTTTTACTGAGGAGGATACACAGACAGCAGATAAGTACATGAAAGGATGCTCATCATCATTAGCCACTAGGGAAGTGTACACTGAAGCCATGATAGAGCACTGTGCTCCTATGAGGATGGCTAAAATTAAAACTAGTGACAACACCAGTTTCTGGAGAAGATGATGTTAATATGAAGATCATTCAGATATTATTAGTGGGAATATAAAAAAATGGTACAGCTCCTCTGCATAACAGTTTGGCAGTTAAAAAAAAAAAAAACATACAAATACCATATAATCCAGGCATTGTACTCATGGATATTCATTCCAATAAATGAAGACTCATATTCACTGTAATGAATTCTTATGATTTTATGTTGCCTTAGCACCCATGTTGAATATAAGTTTAATTTTTTACCAGAAGTAAGGCTTAGTCACCCCTGACACAGTTTTCAGTTCTCCACCTACTCCCAGTTCCTCAGCATCCTTGGCTCAGATATCTACCTTAAACAAGTGCCTCCTGGTGACTACCTCCCTATGGCACAGCTAGCTACAACCTCCTTGACTTGCCCCACTGACCCCAACACCTACACAGACAGCACAGATATGCCACAGTGACTCCCCCATGTGTCACAGCATGACTTTGCAGAGCTCATGCCTGCTTGCTCTAAACCCCTTCAGTTAGAACTCCCCACTGGAAAGTAAATTGTCCACCTAACTCCCTAGACCCCGATAAAGGCCTCAGGCCATATGTCCCTTGCTCTCTGTCGCTCCCACATGCTGATTGAGCACACTTGTCCCAGACAGCGTTCCTCTTCCTGTTGCCCTGTGAGGCATCCTGTCCTCTTCTCTCTGAATCTGTAGGTAACACGCTGCTTCTGTTATTTCCTATGTTATGATGTGCTTCCTTCTCTGTGTCTCACCTGACCAACATACTGCAACCTAACTCTTCTCTCTGTCAGGGCTCTCCTAGGGGTGGCTATCTTGGTAGGAATAAACTGGACACAGATCAGACAAGAGCCACAAGGGCATCTGCTAGTACAAATAAGTGTCTTGAGAGAGAAACATCTGGTTACAAGTCAAACACTTAGCATTAGGCCCTCCACCAGGATAAAGAAGTATCCCATAAAAGGCACACTGTAAACATCCATCACCACACCCCTTGGAGCCCCATCATGGCAAGGCTAGAATTTATCACCACTTTCCAAAGAGATATGTTAAGACTAAATTATAGAAAAATATATAATTCACACACATACAAATATATACACACATCTATAGCCACTTAATTCATAATAGCCTGATGCTGGAAACAGTAATAAAAAAGAGCAAACTATTGGGACAAACAACCTGGATGAATTTCATGAGAATTATGCTGATCATGAAAAGCCAATTCCAAAATATTATACACTGTATGATTCTGTTTATATATAGCACTCTTGAAAGGACAAAATTATGGAATGGAGAACAGATTAGTGGTTTCTAGAGGTTAAAGAAGGGGTGGTCACAGGCGGGAAGAGGGTGTGGCTATGAAGGCAACACGAGGGACCTTGTGATAATGGAGGTGTTTTGTGTTCATGTCAGTAACCTGGCTGTGATCTTGTAAGATAGTTCTATAAGATGTTACCATCAGGAGAAACCTGGTGAAGGGCACATGGGAGCTCTCTGTATTATTTCTTACAACTGCAAGTGAACTTTCCATTATCTCAAAATAAAAAATTTAATTTTTGAAAAACATGAGTTCAGTATAACTGTATGCAATCATATAGCTGAATCTTGTAATTGCAATATTATTTGAAAGAAGCCAGACATAAAACTGTCTATATTGTATGGTTCCATTTTCAAGAACAGGCAGTATGAATCTATAGTGAAGTCAGAAGAGTGGTTACCTACAGATGCAAAACAGCATGAGAAAGTTCAGAGGGGAAGGAAACGTTTTATATTTTGAACTGGGTAGCGGGTATATGTTTATATATGAAAAATAAATGTAAAGCTAATCAACCTGTGAGTGGTTGTACTTTACTATACTTAAATTACGCTTCAATAAGAAGAATGAATGAATGAATGAGGAAATTGACATGGAGGAATGAAAAAGAGTGAGGTGTTAAAGTGCCTGATGTCCATTGCATATAGGGAGCACAGCTTCCCTGAGAGAGCCTGAGAGAGAAGGTAGCACAGAAATGGAAGACAGAGACCAAGCTGAAGAAGCTCCATATGCCATAATGTGAAATTTTAACTTCATCCTGTGCCTAAGGGCCCTACTGATGGGTATTTTAAACAGTATCACAAAGTGATGAGCGTTTTTTAAAAGATTACATTTGGAGCATGTTCCTCCAGGCTGTCACAGTATCTGAATGCAAAACTTCTTAGAAACCAGAGGCGGACAGTTGCCTGGCCCTGAGACCTCCAGATTTGGGACCAGACTCTAACAGAGAGAGGTGATTGAGTACTGCCTTAGTCCATTTGTACTGCTAAAACAAAGTACCTTAGACGGGGTACTTTTTTTCTGTAAAGAACAGAAATTAATAGTTCACAATTCTGGGGGCTGCAAAGTCCAAGATCAAGGCACCAGCAGATTCAGTATCTAGTGAGGGTCTGCTCTCTGCCTCAAAGAGAAAGCCTTCTGGCTGCATCTTTGAATGGTGGAAGGGTGAACAAGCACCCTCAGACATCTTTTATGAGGGCACTAATCTCATTCATGGAAATGGAACCCTTGTGATCTATAATAACCTCTTAAAGAGCCAACCTCTTAATACCATCACCTTAGGAGTTAGGTTTCAACATAGGTATTTAAGGGGTGATACAAACATTCAGACCATAGCAGGAACCAAGGACAAACATAGCTTGACTCTCTGTGTGTGCACATAGTACTGTACACTGAGTCAGAGACCAGAAAAAGAGCCAGAATGCTCGGGGAATTTGGAATTTGGCCCAGTGCAGGTTCCACAGTGGAGACCCCACCTTCTATCCACAGAAGGTTACATGCACATAAGCAGCTTGGGATTTCCAGGGTAAATCCTTATGTCTTTGAAAACGTTGCAGCTGCATGTTCAACGTATCACAACTAACTTTTCACGTCCCACCACCCCCAAAAAACAGTTTGTTTAGCTAATTTTTAGGGCTTATTTACTTGCTTATTTTGACTAAAATGTTGATTATTTCCTTTTTTCTGAAAAAGAAAGGGAAGAAAGGCAAAAAAGGGAAGAAGGATAAAGATCTGACAGCTGACAGGTAAGGAATGGACTTGTTGGTAATGCATGTGAGCAGGGGTGGGGCACCCCAGAGAAGATCAGGGGAAACCTAAGACAGAGACTAAATCCTTGACTATGGCCCGGGCAAGGCATTCCTCTTAGTTAAGCCACACCCTCTTCATCCTGGACAGTGCTATGGGCAGGTAGGAGTTGTCTCAGAGTCCTATACAAATACCAGATTGGAAAGATCCCTAGATGGGCCCAGAAGGCAAACTTGGCCCCCCATCACTTCTGAGTGCAGATAACTTTTTAAATAAAAATTGTAAAATGTGTGGGGAAGGAGATGTTCTTACAAATTTTAAGAAATAACATCCTGACAAAACTTGTGAGGAAATTTTGAGACTGAGTTCCCACAGGATAGAGATGTGTCATCCCCTCACAGCTCTGAGCCCTCCCACTGAGATGCCTCCTTGTACTTGATGGAGGAAAGAGAAGGATGAGGCTGAGGCTTGTAAAGGGATGCTTTCATTTCCTTGAGTTTCATTAGCTGAACTTCAAAACAGTACTCATGAGTAACTTTAAATACTCATTGTTGTTGGATTTGTTTTTTTTTTTAAGTTAAAATGGCCCTGAAGTGCTTTAACATGGCAAATAAATAGTACCTAGGTTTTTTGATATTATCAAGAAATTTAATTAAAATCCCCCCAAAATTGATGTCAGAAATCATTTTGAACATATATTTTTCTTCTCATGGGTTTTGTTAATGGATCAACATGTGTTGCACCCAAACATGGGATGCTCCCTAGTCCTCCCTTGAGTCCCGTTGCTGTCCTGTTTGAGATGCTCCCTAGTCCTACCTTGGGTCCTATTGCTCCCATGTTAGGATTTTCCCTGGTCCTCCCTTGGGTACTGTTGCTCCCCTGTTTGTATGCTCCCTAATCCTCCCCTGGGTCCTGTTGCTGCCCTGTTTGAGGTGCTCCTTAGTCCTCCCTTGGGTCCTGTTGCTGCCCTGTTTGAGGCACTCCTTAATCCTCCCTTGGGTCCTGTTGCTCCCATGTTTGGGTATTTTCTAGTCCTCCCTTGAGTCTTCTTGCTCCTCTGTTTGTGGTGCTTCCTGGTCCTCCTTTGGGTCCTGTTGCTCCCCTGTTTGGGGTTGTTCCTTAGTCCTTGCTTGGGTCCTAGCATTACTCTTTCCAAACTCTGCTTGAGAGAATGGTCATGAGAGGAAGCCCTGCTTAGCACTCTGGAGGAGGAGAAGAGACCAGAGCACCCAGAGCCCATGTACATGTCTGCAGATACCTCCGGTGAGATCAAAGCATCCCAGAACTAGCACATGTACACAGAGTTCTGGCAAGCAATGGTCTCCAGCTCTTTGGAGAAATAGCTTTCACAGGAAATCCCTAGAGGAAGGGGCTGCAAGGTTCCCCACTTGAGGCTCCATTGTTTGGGTAATTCCTGTCTAAGAGAGATCTGGCCAGCATTTTGAGATTCAGGTGCTCCAGTTCCTAGGGAGGCACACATCTGTCATGCACAAACACTGAAATCTCTGGGGAGCAGCTCCTGGGGACAGAGGGACCGTCACTGTCCTATCCCTTGAGGAGGGTCCAGCCCACACATACAAGCATTGCCACAGGTATCTTCCAGTAGGTCCTTTTCTTTTCCTTTTTTCCTTTTTTTTTGAATTGGAGTCTCACTCTTGAAACCCAGGCTGGAGTGCAGCGGCATGCTCATGGCCACCACAGCCTCAACCTGCTGGGCTTAGGCAATCCTTCCTCCTTAGCCTTCCAAATAACTGGAACTACAGATGCACGCCACCACACCTGGCTAGTTTTTGTGATTTATTGTAGAGACAAGGTCTCACCAAGTTGCCCAGGATCATCTCGAAACCCTGGACTCAGGCAATCCTCTTGCCTCGGCCTCCCAAAGTGCTGGGATTACAGGCTGAGCCACCATGCCCAGCCTTCCAGTAGCTCTTAAATGCCACTTTTCTCCTTTGTTCTTACACTAGTCCCAAATAGTAAAGTCTTTCAAGTGAAGATCAGGTTAAGTGCCTTATCCAGTGACAAACCAAGTGCTACAATCCAATCTACCAATATAAGCCTGTCACTAACTCAAAATTATTCATCCACATTCTCTTGCATGTAAAGTATCTCTTCACTGAAGAAAACACTGCTTTAACAATATAGACCACACATGTGTGGCTCATGGACAATGTCCATTAGACATTGAATATATTTTTGGTCTTGCTTCCTTACAGCTGAGCTATCATAAGACAGCTGCAACTAATTATGTAGTGAAATGAAGAGTGACCAGTATGTTATTCATTTTATGCTCAGAAATACAGAAATACCTGGTCATCTCATTCCTGAAAGACTTTTCTTTTTAACTTTAAAGATCCTGTGTCACTATACTAGGACTGGTTCTGCCATGACACTGCAAGACAACTTAGGTTTCTCTCATCAAATTAATATATCCCTTAAAACAGCATTTTATCATAGTTTAAGATTGTTTTAAAGTTGAACATTTTTTATTCCATAATAAAAGTTTATTGCACTGAAAAAATTCAGATATAGGTTTGTGCTTGGTCCGTCTTAATATATTTTGTTTTGATTATGTTGAAGAACCTTCTTCAATTTTATGTTAATATTTTATGCCTTTGTTATATGTTTATATTGAATAAGTGTTCAAGCTAAAACAATTCAGTTGATACTTCCTTGATATAGACCAGATACTGTTATCCTGAATTCTATTACAATTAAACCTTCCTTAATTTTTAACAAAGGGTATACTATTTTAAATATATTTGATAGAATACAATTTCAAGTAAACCAAAGACTGTAGTCATCGGATTAACATTTATCCTAATAGTATTTGACTTGAATCTAACTGATATTCTTGGGTCACTTTTAATTACACTAACTTGGATCATAGAACATATAGTTATATTTATAGTCCTCAACTTAAAGAAAGACAAGGGTAGGATGGAAGAATAAAAAAAGGAAAGACAAAACATCTCAAAGGATTATACTGAATAATTTTAGAACTTAACCTATCTTAATTCCTGCAAGCCAAACCCCAGCTAATATCATTGGGAGTTTCATACATTGCATGAAATACTATGTCCATTTTTTCTCAATTAGTATAAATTACCAGTGCTGACTATATACCCAAGATCCTCTTAGAGAAGTGGCTTCTGACATCTGTAAACACTACAGAAAAGTATAACACCCTCCTAAAAATAATAATTACACTCATAGCTTTAGACATTTCATCTTCCATATAAGAATTATAGGCTTTGTTCCTTGTAGAAATTTCTTTTAAACTATTGCAGTATTGGGTTAAAGGAAATATAAATTCCACAAAGGATTAATGATCTACTACAGCTTGAAGATGCTAACTGAATATATAATTATGGGCCCATTGCATTACTATTATTGGGTAATTTCTAATTCATATTTGTGCCATCATGAAGACTGATGGAAGAGCAGACTGCAAGAGTTATAGCTGATCTCAGACGCCCAAAGATATCATTCTTATTAATGGGAAACATCAGATATGCACATGGATGAGTGAAAGTACTGTTTTTAAAAAGACTAATTTATCCCCCAAATTGTAGAAACACTTTATAAATCCATTTATTTGCATATATACGAATTTAATCTGAACTAGATCTAATTGGAGTTCTCTGCATATGTGATGATTAACAGAAATACTGCTGGTTTTGTGTGTACTCCTGGAATAGACAGTCTGCTTTGTCCTCAGGACCATCGAGTCTCTATATAAGGAACTGGTGGAAGAAGGATTACTGATCCCAGCTCTGAAAGTCAACCTCTCTGAATTCATTGGTAAAGTACCCAAAGCATAATGCATGTATGTGTCCCATGTCACCCTTTGTGTTTTGAAGTCCAAACAGCTGAACATGTTTTATTTGTGTTCTTGTCCAAGCCAAAACCTGGTCTATGGTGACTTCTGGTAGATGTTGGATGGAATAGATTTGAACAACCTAAGAGGATGCTATAAACTAATAGGTTCTCTTAATAAAATGGGTCCAACTCTCTTCCCAACACCGTAGAAGCAGGTTTTTTAACCTGCTAGCAGGGTTCCTTGGGGCAAAGTCTTTCTGTCATAACCTGATTTAAGGAAATGGTGAGTTGATCATGCTTTCATGTTTCCCTGTTTACACAAAATGCCCCGAGAGGAAAGCAGTGGGGGCTTCTTCAACACAACAACCCAATCGTTACAAGAAGAACTCCTTACAAAAGAGACTTTCCAAAAGAGACAGAAGTATTTAGAAGGAAGAAGATGAGGATATTTGTTATTACATCTTCAATGTTTTCCCCAGAATTTTTAAAATACAATATGATGACACAAAAACACGCTTAAAGCTCATAACTTTGAAATTCCTCATAACTTTGTCACCTTAATGCAGTTATTATTTTTACTTTTATGAAGAAAGAATCTTCAATTAATGACATTTTCCTACACAACCACAAAAAACACAAAAGGGTAATCAAACTAAAAAAAATTAACATTATATTACCTCATATATAGTTAATATTCAATTTTTCCTATAGTCATAATATCCTTTATAATTGTCTTTCTTAATCTGAAATCCAATCAAGGATCATGTGTGTGATTGTCATATCCAGTATCCTTTAATTTCTCCCATCTAGAACAGTTTTCCATCTTTTTTTTTAATCTTTCAAAACATTGACATTTTAGAAAAATCTGAGCTGTTTTATAGACTGACACTCAAATGTTTGTGTTGAATAATTGCCTAATTATTTGATTCAGGTTAAACATTTTTTATAGGAAAACTACATAGGTAATTGTGTATCCTTCTCAGTGTTTCTGATTGGGGACACATAATGCTACCCGTTCCCATCACTGCTGATGTTAAGTTTAATCTTGTGACAAATGTACTATTCCTCTGATTTCTCCATTGTAAAGCTTCATCTTTTCTTTTATAATTAAAAAAGGTTATACATCAAGGCTGGCGATAATCTGTTCCCAGCAGACTTTTACACAAGTGTTTTGATATGCACTGATGATTTTTGCCTGCATCAATTATTTCTGTAGTGGTTGTAAAATGGAACTTTTCTCTTTCCATCATTCCTTCCACATTTAATAGATATTCTTCTTTAAGGAAGTATGGAATTTTTTTAAATTGTTGTGGTATTAATGTACACATGAATCTCTTTTTATTAAATGTATTATTATCTGTCCCTATTACTATTTATTCTGATGTTTACGTTGACCCAATTTTAGCCTGTGAGAGCAGGAAGGCTAGCATTTTCCTTTGATCAAAGGATAGTTATTTTAGTCCCTTTGCAAGACAGCTTTGTTTTCTTCTCGATGGCTTGGAGATGCCTTCACATTTCCTAATAGCATAAGAATTTTACCAGAACATACATTGGGATATGTATTGGTTTTCTATTTATTTTATGTGTTTCTTGTTCAAGTGCTAGAGAGTTTTCTCTTATATTATCTTGATTCTGTTCTGTTTAATTTTGTTAATATTTAAAGGCAATCATTTTTAACAGAACTGTCTCTTATTTGCGGTTTGGATTTCTGAATGAAAGATGCTAGAGCCTAATGCGATGCCTGGCAGCCCATGGCAGATTCTCATTACCTACCTGTGGACCGGTTTCTCAACTTCTTATTAATTTCTTATCAATTCTGGACTTTTTATTGATCTATCAAGTTTCAAGATAGCATTTTTAAGATGCCTAAGGTCAAAGTGGTTGGGGTCAGTCACTTAAGAGTGATGCTGAGTGAAAATGATCCAATCTAACAAAATTAGTCAAATTCACACAAGGTCTGACACACTTTGACCTTGTTCATATTTTCTTTGTTTTTTTCCCAGTTAAGATCCTTAGCTTGAAACATGGTAGTGTAGCTTCCCAAATTCCCACATTTAAAACTAGAGCAACTAAATAACAAAAACAAAAACCCACAGGCAACGCATACACCAAAACTCAATGACAAGTTTTACCTCTTAAGTCACAAAGCATAAGCGATTGGGAACACTGAAGAACCTGAGAACAGGAGACCCCAAAATAACCATAAGCACTCACTGGAAAGCTCAGTGGGCCAGGTAAGAATGGAAGCTGAAACTTGGAAGAGTTTTGTCTACCTCAGCAGCAGAAGAGTACAAAGGGCCAGAATGAAAATGTGTGAAGGGGCAGTAGTAGGCTGAATCTTATGCTCTCTTGAAAATGACCTACCTCAGTTCCCTTCCTAGACAGTGCTCCATACTAAGAAAAAAACTCTTGGGAATTGAACAGGATGGAGAAAAAAAGACACAGCAAAGAGAAGAGCCAGAAAAAGTTAGGGGCCAGAACATCTCAGAAAACAAGGCACCACATTTTTAACATATATGAAAACAACAGAAGAGGGAGCTCTGTGAAATTAGAAACCAGTCCTGAGCTACACTTTTTAATAAAAATATAGGAATATGAACTCACAGAAATTTGAAGAATTAACATTCCCAAAAGACATCCCCATAAAGCAGATCTATACTAGAGCCTTCTATTTTAAAACAAGTTAATATACATTAAGAAAATTATAGAAAATATATAAGAACAGCATAAAATAGAATAAGAAGTACTCAGAAATGAGGTGACAAAATTCAAGAAATATAAATAAAGGGGAAAATGTTTTAGAAAAAACTTAATGATGAATACAAGAACAAATAAAGGCAATAAAGAATGCTCTCAGAAAAATAAAAGGTGAAAAGACAGGCATTTTAAAAAGTAAAACTAGAAGTGAAGAATAGGATAGAACAATTCAAAAGAACATATCAAAGATTGAAGATAAACAAAGAAGATTCAACATACAGATAATACAAGTTCCAGAAGAAGAAAACCAAAGCAAATGAAGAAAACCAAAACCAGAAGAAACACTAAGATTGTCAATTCATGAAAACTTTAATTCTAAAAGAACTATAAATTGACCTTCCATATGTCCCAGCAGTCCCCCTATTGGGAATATACCCAGAGGAACTCAAATCATTCTACCAAAAAGATACCCACACACTCATGTTTCTTGCAGCACTATTCACAATAGCAAAAACATAAAACCAATCATGCTGCCCATCAAAACTGGACTGGATAAAAAAAGTGGGGTACATATTCATGATGGAATATTATGCAGCCATAACGAAGAACAGAATTATGGACTTCACCACAACTTGGATGGATTTAGAGTCTATCATACTCAGTGATCTATCACAGAAACAAAGAACGAGTACCACATGTTCTCCCTCATAAGCAGATCTTGAACATTTACCATAATACTATAAGAGAGGGATGGCAGTAACTAGATACTGCTAGGGGTGAGAGGGGGGACACACAACATCAGTAAGGGTACCTGATCTCAAACCAGACAAAGTGGGGACCAAAGGAAAGCCCAAACTTTACCTGTACGATAACCACATGTATACCTAATCCCAAATTGTACCCCACATCTTTTAAAATAAAAGAAAAAGAAAAAAATTAAATAAATAAATAAATAAATATTAAAACCACATAATGAAAGATCACACCGTGTACCTTAGAGTATTAACATAGACTACGCAGCAAGACATATTCTAATAAAAGTACCTTTGGGTATCTGTATAAAAAACAAAATAAAAAAGACCTCATGACTTATAAAGGGAATAAAATTCAGTTATCATCAGACTTTTCAACAGTAATGCTTTATATCTGAAATAAATGGAGTGACATATTTAAGATACTCAAGGAAAGGAAATAAGATTCAAGGAGTTTGTATCAAACCAAATTTATTTTCAAGCATATATGACACACACTTATAAGCATGCAGGAACTCAGAATATTTTCCCCATGACCCTTTCCTGAACAATCTACAGGAATAAGATACAGACAACTAAAACAACTAGAGAGACCTTGACATGGGGGCTGGTAGTGAGCATTCAACACATACTTAGAAAACTAAGAGTGAGGACTGCAAGGGAGAGTGCAATATGTAATGACTATGCTTTGACTGTGTGGCTAGAGTACAGCCACAAAAACATGGAAGGAAGAATCAGCACATACAAAAAATTTAACCATTTTCAGTTGTCATAAGTAGTGTTGATAGTATTTATTTTTATGCTATTCTGTGTGTGTGAGACAGAGAGAGAAGTATAATGTGTGATAATTGAAATGAGAAATTATGAGTTCTGTCATCTCCTCTATCCTTCGAAACTAAGTTTCTCCTCTGGAGGAAAGGCGGCATCGATGTAAAACAGAAGGAGTTAAGTAAAACTTGTAATCTTGAATTTGAACTAAAATATCACTTTCAACTCATGAGGTATTTTATCATGCACACACACAAACCCACACCAGTGGTAAGCCAATACCAGCTCATGGGAGTTGATTGCTAATTTTTTAGAAATTTTGTGAGGCAGTTGAGAGGCACACCATGATGTATAAGTTTTCTATCTCCGTCTATTGAAAATGCCTAGAGATAATGACCAATACATTAGCCATGAGTATTCTTAGATTTCAGGTTATTATCTTAAAACACTATTTCCCAATCAAAGAAACCAGCATTTCCTAATAAATTGCTGGTTTCAGACAGGGACAAGAAACATCAAGAAGAACCTGAAACGTCTTGTATTAAATGGCAAGGAACTTCTCAGAGATGACTAAGTTCATGGCAAAAAACTTTAGGACCCAAATTGAAGAAACTCCCTCTGGCCAAAAGTGGGACATTTTGAGATCTAGTAAGGATAAGAAATTTAATGGATTGAAATCCATAAAATATGGTTTTATTCACAAGTTCATAATTATATGAAAATGACTAATTGGTCATCTACAGAGGATGACTGGAAACCAGTTCT